GTTTAAAAGACATGTAGATGTGGTGCTTAGGGACATGGTTTAGTGGTGGACTTGGCAGTGTTAGGTAAACAGTTGGACTCGATGATCTTAGAGGTCTTTTCCAACCTAAATGATTCTATGATTCTATGATGCAGGGGTGTACCTGCTCCACTGTGGACCTACCCACAGCCACAGAGGCTTTGGGGTATATCTGCTCCATCATAGAGTTACTCACAGGTCACAGTCCCTTCAACTGGAGTTCAGACTGTAGTTACAGCATGCCTACTACAGCAGTACAGGAACAGCAGCAATGCCCTGGCCATATGTCAGCCCAGGCACGTGGCCAGTGCTGTTATTGAAATGTTTCCAGGCACAGCAAAGTAAGATGATAAGCAGTACAGCAAATAGCAGCCATTAACAATCACTAAACTAATATACAGTAAGGCAAGCAAGTCCTGTGGCAAGCGCAGGAGCCTGCCAATTAATAGCTTTACAGCTGTTACAGCTATAAATCTGGTCTAGCACGTTCCAACCAAATCTGTCGTTATCTCGAACCCCTCTGGCCCTGCACTGGGTGCCAAAAAGCACTGTTGTGGGTTAACCCTGGTAGGCAGCTCAGCCCCACCCAGCTGCTCGCTCACTCCCCTCCCAGTGGGATGGGGGGGAGAATTGGAAGGGTAAAGGTGGGAAAACTCGTGACTTGAGATAAAGACAGTTTTCTAGGTAAAGCAAAGCTGCGCACGCAAGCAAAGTGAAATCAGGCATTCGTTCACTACTTCCCATGGGCAGGCAGGCGTTCAGCCACTTTCAGGAAAGCAGGGCTCCATCATGCTGAATGGTTACTTGGGAAGACAAACGCCATAACTCTGACTGTCCCCCCTTCCTCCTTTTTTTCCCCAAGGTTTTATTGCTGAGCACAACGTCATATGGTGTGGAATATCCCTTTGGTCAGTTGGGGTGAGCTGTCCCGGCTGTGCCCCCTCCCAACCTCTTGTGCACCCCCAGCCTACACACAGAGAGGGTCTTGAGGCTGTGCAAGCACTGCTCAGCAACAGCTAAACCAGGGGGGTGTTATCAACACTGTTTTCATCACAGATCCAAAACACAGCACCATACAAGCTACTGTGAAGAAAATTAACTCCATCCCAGCTAGAACCAGTATATAAATTTACAGAAGTAGCAAATTTGACCTCTGAGAGTGTGAATCATTGGTGTAGGCACCCAGGGTGAATTTCTGCTCCTACTGATACCAAAGAAAATAATTTAGCAAATGGAACAGGATGTGATCTTACATATTTGATTTTGCTATTTTTACCGAATTGTTGCTCTAATCTCACAAACATTACTGCCCACATGATGAATTTCTATGAAATTTCTCACTGATAAAATAAGAATATAGAACTTTAAAACTGTCTTTATTTGGCATTTTACATTTATTTTTAATCTAAAAACCACTGCGCATGTATAATGTATCCTCAGATGTTTTAAGATAAATGCATTTTCAGTTTATTCTAACTTTATGGCTTTTTATGGAAAATAATAATTCTAACTTTATAGTAATTACAGCAAAGTATAGTCCCATAATAAGTCCCTTACTATAAGAACCTTACTGTAAGAACCAGAACATGTACTTTGTCAAATTATTCTAAGAACAGACTATTCAAAAAACAAAGAAGCCTAAGCAAATGTTTTCGTAAAAAAACCCCCAAAACCCAACTCCTAAATTTTAAGTGGCAGCTGCTTTCCCCACTTCGCCCTCGCTTCCCGCTTTCTTCCCCCGTAGGAAGCGCTCCCGGGCCGCCAG